GTCAGTCCCATTTCTATCACAGATCAACTAAAGCTGGGATTCACTGCATCATCAGCAAGTTGGCAGCAAAAGTTTAGTCTGATGACGCCAACGTGTTGCTTTCTGATCACATGGGAAATAATAGTGAAGAAAACTGACACCACAGCCTGATGAACCACGGTGGTGATGGCATCATGCTGTGGGAATGTTGTTTTTTCTCTCAGTAGAGGCATGGAGGATAGTCAGAGTTAATCAGCAGGTCTGATATTCATGTTAGAATGGCCTAGTCCAAGTCCAAGCTTTACATAGAATGAGAATCTTTGCAAAGTTTTAAATACTGATATTAATGAATGCTGCTTCATTCAGAAGACTGAGCTAGAGCTAGTTTACATAGAATAACACTAGAACATTCTCCAAGGATGTTTAGGAGGTGCCTGCCACTTGGTGCGTATTGGTGGTCGTAATATTTGGACTGGCAGCAAAGGGTTAATGGGGTTAGTTGGGTTCACCTTTCATTGGATATGTCACCATACCGAGCGTCGACTCGCGTCTCATTACCTGCTGGGGACTGGCTTCACATCACCTGTTGGCGACTAGCGTTGCCACACCTAGTGGGGACGGATGTTGCAACACCTGTTGGCGACTAGCGTTGCCACACCTAGTGGGGACGCATGTTGCCACAGCTAACGGCGGCTGGTGTCGCCACACCTAGTGGTGACTGGCATCCCAGACCTAGTCGCGTCTGGGGTAACGATAAAGATCCCTTTATTGCAATAAATTACAGAGTATATTATATAGGCTTTTATTTTGTAGAGGACCTAATGTCTTATTTTGAAGTTCTGGCCGTGTCTTTAGCATACAGCCTGTGTAGAGAATGGAATCCATTTGCAATTGTTGAATCTCTCTTGTTGCTTCTTATTAGATTAGTCGATGCTTTATTACAGAGGAAATGGATTAGCTTTATTTAGAAAGGTGAACTCAGGTGTGTCGTTAACAGATCTTGGTAGTATAATTTTAATAAACTGGTTGAATTCTGGTCAACTATGAGCCATATATTTTATTTTGTAGAGTCCCTGGAGTCTTACTTTGAAAGTCCATCATGGATGCGTGTCAGGGCGGGGTCATGCCCAGCATGGATATAGAATCCATTTCCAAATGTTAAATCACTTTATTAGATGAATAGATGCTTTATTAAAGCTTGCATTGCTATGGCAACCACCAAAAATAACACAAGTATAGGATTATCTAGATCTGCAGAACATAGAACAGTAAAAAGACACCAAAGGATGTTTTAGAAACCATAGAAATGAAGGAATTTTTATTTAAATTGTAGTTCTAACAGCAGTAATAACATAAAGTCTAAAGAAGCATCTAAATGCAGGTCAATGCAGATTAGCTGAATTCCTGTTTCAGCAGCAAAACAGATCAAGCAGCAGATCAAGTAGGGACCTCAGCAAACCCCTGGAGTCAGACACATTTTATATTTCAACATGAGTTGAAATATAAAATAACTCAATATATGCTCCAAAAAAAGTTAAAAACAATCCACTGGAATATATGAATATATGAAGGAAAGCTGGAGTAGCCTAAAGGAATTATGGGTAATGTAGGCTCAAAACAAGCATCTGTGACTGAAGACTTCCTGCACGTGTTCCTGCAGTCAGAATGTGATCAAAAAGTATTAAAAATAAAGATTTATTAATTAACCTGATTTATTTCCAAACAGAATCCATGAGTTTGGTTTGAATCATTACTTTAGTTCTGTTTCTGATATTTTCCCTGGAACATTTCTGCAGCTTTTTGGAAAAACTTCAAACAGCAGCAAAGCTCGGTGTTATTTCCACTGCTGGATCCACTCAGATCCAGAGACTGTGGAGGTTAAAGGTCACAGCAGTAGGTGAGAAACATGGACAGTAGGAAATGTAGAAAAGAGCGGCTAGATCTGCCTGCTTCTCTGTCTGCTCCCTGCATGTCGTCTCTACATGTTAGAGGAACACACTGAATGACAGTAAAGTGTAATTTAAGCACAGATGCTGCCTTTCTGCTGCTGTCCAGATGTGGCCTCTATAGATCCCTCAGCATCAGTCAACTGTTGCACATCAGGGCTTTTTATTTGCACATTCTGCACGTTCTGTCTCCCAACAGGCCAGATCCTTCACATCCTTTGCTTTGGGAACTGGGAACGCTGCCTCTCCCTAATTTGCTCAGTGTTTAACTTCCAGAGCCAAAGCACAGATGGGACAGAGCTTCAGATCCAGTGTGGGGGCAGCAGAGGGCAGCAGAACGGGAAGGATGGAGGAATGTGGTTCCAGCAGAAATCCAAGCAGAGGATAGATGCAAAAACTAGTTTTAAACTGCAGTTAAGCTGTGATGGAGCGAACAGGATAAACTTTGTAGTCTGCATGCTGTCCAGCCGCTCCGTGAGGTTTTAGTATTTCAGATGTTATTGCTGCATGTAGAGAGCTGAAGGGGAAGACGGACAGGCCGGGAGTTTCCTTTAGAACATTTCTGATGAAGCGTCTGAGAAGACCAGCAGGCTCTAAAGATGTTTTTAATCTCTGAACTCCTCCTTATTTCCAGGATTCCTCTTTCCTGATCCTTTATGAAAACATTTCTACTGATGAACCTTTTCCTGGTGAACCTGCTGCATCCTCAGCTTCTGGTTGTCATGGTGACAGTGTTGCTCCAGAACGCTGATGGAGGTTTTTTCCTAAGAAGATGGTTTTAGATTCTACTTTTCTCTCCAGCTTCTGGTTGATTTCTTAACGCCTGTTATTTCTAGATGTTAGAGAAGCGGCTTTATTTTGGCTCTAGGAGCTTCTAGAGAGTTCCTGCAGAGCTGCTGGATGTCTGGAGTCTTCTGGCTGTTAGGATCCTTAGAGTGATCCTTGGATCAGCTCAGTGCAGGAGTCCAGCCAAGCTTTCATCATCTGGGGCCAACTGGAAAGGTCAAAGTTCATCTTTTCCATAACGGTCTTCAGAGGATTCATGGTAGACCAGATTCCTGCAGCTCGTCTTCAGCCGGATCCAAGCTCATCTGCTCGTCTGTCGCTGTTCAAACCGTTCAAACTTTAATACGTTTCATCTGTCAGGAACAAAGAGGAACGTTTTCATGGCGTTTATATAGATTTAAAAAATGTAGAAGTGAACGACAACAGTTGACTGGAGAAGTTTTATAAAGATTATTCAGGTATTCTACATTTATTACAGGAAATGAGTCACAGAGGAAAAGATTTGCCTCAGTGAGTCATTCATCCTGAAGCTCTGAGTCTGTTTTCTCTCCTGATTTTATGTCATTTTGTAGTTTTTACCTTTTATGTTCTGACCTCAGAAAACCTTTATTTATATTTATTTAAATAAATGTCATTTTCTGCCAGAACATTTTTACCGATTTCCGTCGTTATAAAAAAACTAACCTTTTCCGTTTTAACAGAATCTTTTTCTCTAAATGTTTCTCTGATCTAAATGTCTCTAAAATGTTGCTCGATGTCATCAGTGGAGTTGTCAGAACTCTCTTACCTAAATGGTTCTGGTTGAAATGTCCATAAAACCAAATGATGAAAAATTCCTTCAAATAAATAAAGTAATTTATGTTTTTATTTAAATGTGATGAATAAATTCAGAACTTTTCTGGCAGTTTTTCAGATCATAGGACTGAATTAGTTCTGAGTCTGTATTACAGAATCAAATAAAATAAACTCAGAGTTTTTTTCTTTATTTAAGAGTAAAGGAAGCAGAAGATGTTCTGCAAAAACTCAACATGATTTACTGATTGACTTTAATTGTTTTGTTCAGTAACTATTTTCCGTTATTTCATCATGTTCTACCCAGCCATATGAGTTTAGTGTCATTTGGAGCCGTTCTGAAGATATTCCCTTAGGTTATATCCAGTAACGTCATCAGCGCGGCGGACTGGAGCTGTGACAGGCAGCCCGGGCCACAGGCGGCTGCGCTCTACCCCTTCTATTCATTCTAGCTCATCTGAATCGTTCATCTGGAGAGCGAGATCATCTGTGGTAGCAGCTCTAGACATCTTCCAGGCATGTGAGGAAAACTAGCAGCAGTTCAGCGGATGACATCATACACGCGCTGCTTTGTTTTTAAAACATATAAATATAAAAATCTAACGGCGGATGTCAGGGGGACAGTGATTGGCCTCCATGTTCTGAATGCTGGCGTACCATAAATGATAAATGATGAACAGTTTAGTTTGTGCCTTCAAGTCGTTGCCCATAGGAAGACGTTACTGGATATAACCTAACTGAATATCTTCAGAACGGCTCCAACTGACACTAAACTCATATGGGTGAGTAGAACATGATGGAATAACGGAAAATCAAGAACCCAATGGAAAAAAAAAACTGCATTCCCCTTTAAGAGTGTGATTCCTCTGTAGTTGGAACACACCCTCGGGTCCCCTTTTTTAAATAGAGGGACCACCCCAGTCTGCCAATCCAGAGGAACTGCCCCTGATGTCCACGCGATGTTGCAGAGCCGTGTTAACCAACACAGCCCCACAACATCCAGAGCCCTAAGGCACTCAGGGTGAATCTCGTCCACCCCTGGAGCCCTGCCACCAGGGAGCTTTTTAACCACCTCAGTGACTAAATACTTATGTTGGGGCTAAATATTTATTTAACAAAGTAAGGTTTTTATAAATGAATGAATGACAGTGAAAAAAAAAACAACCCCCTTATTTTTCTCTTAAAACAAGCTAAATAAACATAAATGTTGCTCCTAATGTTTGACTGCTTAAATTAACAAACAGAACCCCATAAAACTAGCCTGACGTAGTCCTACTCCATTCTAGTCAGAATGAGTCTGATGCTGCTCCATAGAGCTGTGATTATGGGGCGTGTTTTGAACGGACCAGGAAAAAAAATGCCTCTGCACTCAATTGGATAGACCTACAACCAATAAGAGCAACGGAGTGCGTGACGTATGTTAAGCGACGCATAGTTGTTGTCAACAAAAATCAAAGCGTGCAGTTTCACGCCTAGAATAAGAAGATGAGCCTTGAT